ACTAGTGGGCAAGTGGAAGTGTCTAATAGAGAAGTCAAGCAGATTCTACAAAAGACGGTGAATGCCCAAAGGAAAAATTGGGCTGACAAGCTAGATGATGTTGTGTGGGCATATCAGACTGCATACAAGACACAAATAGGGACTTCTCCTTATCGAATGGTATTTGGAAAAGCGTGTCACATACCAACTGAATTGGAGCATAAGGCATATTGGGCGATCAAAAAGTTGAATCTGGATGTTGAGTTAGCTGGAAAGAAGAGAAAAAATGCAGTTGCATGAGTTAGAAGAGTTCAGGCTTCACGCCTACGAGAATGCTAAGTTGTACAAAAAAAAGACCAAGAGGTGGCATGACAAGCATATTGTGTCACTCACCTTTGAGCCTGGTCAATTAGTGTTGTTGTTTAACTTAAGGTTGAAGTTGTTCCCCAGAAAGCTTCAGTCTAAATGGAGTGGCCTTTTTGAAGTTGTTAGAATGACTCAACATGGTGCGATGGAGCTAAAGAACAAGGACAAGAGCTCTACTTTCCTTGTAAATGGGCAACGGGTCAAACATTATTTAAGGAATGATGTTGATCGTGAGCTTGAAGCTCTCACATTGAATGACGAATGAGTCATGAGATGGTTCATGTCGCGACGTTAAATCAGGCGCTACACAGGAGGCAACCTGTGAACCCTTGTAATAGTTAGCATTCCTTTGCTTTTGTTTTGTTATTTCAATTCATAGGAATTAGTAAAAAAAAATGATATATTCAGAAAAGTACAAAAAAAAATTGTTCCACGACCAAAACTAAGGCGTTTGATGGTAGGCAACCCATCGTTTTGACCAACAAGTTTTGGGCTTGAAATATGCAGGAATCAGAAATGTTGATCCAAGGCAGCTCCATGAAGGAGCCGTATCACGGAGAGGGGTCTAAATTTTGCCTCGCTTGGAATTAATTTTCCAAGTGTAGGCAGAACGGTCCATGTACTTCGAGCTTTGCGGAGGGAGGCTCAAAATTTTGATTCGACAGTAAGTTAATTTTACGTCAAAAAGAAGGCAGATATGTGATAGAGTCGCGTCGTGGAGCTTGGTTATTTTATTTCCTTTGGAATTAATTAAGTTGGCCAGGCAAAACACTTTGTAAAGAGCCTGCGTCGCGCCCAGGTAAGTCCGGTTTTGATTTTTATTAATTCAATGGGTTTTACCCATTTTTCTTTGAAATTAACTCGACCCAGTCCCTTTTTAACCCCTAATTTTCGTCCCCACACCCATTTCATCCCAAATTCACGTGATTTTTTCCCTCTCTTTGGCCTGGGCAAATTCTTATGTTCTAATCGTATCGCGAAGCAAAAATCCACCCTTCTTCCCTTTGATTCTCTGCAACTACAAGACGATAGGTACGTATTTTGCTACTCTTGTTAGCACAAATTGGGCGTTTTGGTATGAAGAAATCGTTGTCACTGTTTGTATGATTGTGTGTGATGTTTGGACTATAAAGGGTTGTGCTTACAGTGGTGTATGTGTGTTGCTTTGGGTGTTTTCGAATTTTTGAGTAGAACTCATCCACTATTTATTGTTGGGGTTATGAATCGGTCTGGTTATGATTTTTGCATGAACATGGGTAGCTTCTTGCACATGTTGGGCTAGAGGAATGGGGCAGTACTTTGATTCTAATTGTGGACACTATGTTGTGTATATCCGGTATTTCGCAGTCTGAGTAGAAATTACCTCTATTTGCTAGTATGGGAAGTTTGTTGCATATATGAAGGGGTAGTTGACCATCTTATTCAGATTATTGTAAGTGTTGGTTTACTGTTGTTTTTCCTATCATGATGGCTATATGTAGTTGCATATCGAAGTGGTATAGTCATCTGGGACTTGAAGGATGAATAGGCATGTGTGTGTCACACTTGCAAGTTAGTTGTGGCTTAAGGCCATGTATTTCTAAAGTGTCATATAGGTCTATCATAGTCGTGTGAAGTCTTGAGTAACACTACTTGATTGTTGAATGGTTGTGACAAATATAATGATGTTTATCTGGTTCCATGAATGTGTTAATTAAATAAGCGTGTTGTCGGTCATTTTTGGGAAGTCTGAGTACCTAGGTTGAAGCATGATGTGACATAAGTATGGGTAGTGTATGCGCACCACCCAAATTGTGATCAATGTTATGAGTGGTGGGCTAAACTATACTATACTTATAGGTAATCATGTCGACTTCACAAAAACCTGGCAAGGAAGTGGCCATATCAAGCCACAGAATACGTGTCCGGAGTGGGAATGTCTCACCCGCATATGCAGTTCTCAGGGACCAAACCAGGCGGTTTGGGTGAAGGTTGTAACCAAAGAAGGGAAGGCATGGTACAAAAAGCACACAGATGCCACTTATTTCTCCGATGTTTGTATTGACAGGAACATCCTAGCTCGTAAGTTCCTACAAATCCTGAGGCGAATTAGGGAGTTGTGGATGGAGTTTATCTTTGCCGAACCGGAAAAGTGGAACTTGCACATGGTCCGAGAGTTCTACGCCAACTGGGCAGCGGAGGCAAGAACCCATTTTGTGACGGTGAGAGGAATCAATGTGTCTATCACTCCCTCAGGTATAAATGACATTGGGTACACCACAGGACACGGACCTACTAGTGCTGACAGGGTTAAATATACGCTCTTTATATCGGGTCATCCGACATACTCTGTGCGGTCCACAGTCCATGGCGCAATAGACTAAGCACAGTGGGAAGAGATATCACAAATCTCTTCCCTATGCTCACATGCTTTGGGAGACACGTGTCTGGCTAAAGTTTGTCTTGAACTATTTAATATCGGGTCTCCACTACACAGATATTACTCGTGACAAGGTGTGCTTGGTATATGCCTTGATGACAAGTACGTTAGGTGCAAGGGACAATTGGATTACACTTAATGCATCTCCTTCAATCTTCTCCTTGTCGGAATCTGATGTGTTATCGGGATACTTTCCGTCAATAGCATGGATTGAACCTTCCCTCCGCAGTAACGCCATCATCTGGATCTTCCAAATATTGAAGTTGTTGCACCCACTAAATCTATCAATTTCAAACTTCATGGAACTCATCGTTACTTGTTCTTCCTCTTCTATTACAATGTATTTGGAACTACAGAAAACCAAAGTAATTCTTTTCTGATGTGGAAGTTCAGACTGTGCTGCAACCACAGAGCATATACAGACAGAACCTTAGCTCTGATACCAATTGTTAGCGGAAACGTGAAATTAAAGAACAAGGAAGAACAACAATATTTAACGTGGTTCGGATCAAAATGATCCTACGTCCACCAAAGAACAACTACACCATTATTTATTTCACTCTGCAAAGAATACAAGTGAAATACTACAAGAGAGAAAACATCAAATGCCTTAGAAGGTGAGAAGGCAAGTGAGATGATGATTTGAAAATGAATTACGAGCTACCTATTTATAGGAATAATTCTTCCTATTGATGTCATCCATGACATCACTATGTGTCAAAAATGTGAAGGTTAAACATGTGAAACTATTTTATGGTTTACCTAAATTTCACCTACCAAGATACTATTTTGATTTTATTTTGTACTAATTATCTTCATACCAAATCTTCATATTAATTCATCTTCCATGGAGTTTGATTCCACAAGAACCAAACCAACTCTATCAATTATGGTAGGGGAAGCTCATTGTGGGGTAAGGAACATCGACAAGCTACTTGGATTATACAGAAGATTTAGAAGATACAACAGTATATAGAGAAGATAGGGATGCGTGAAGTAGACCTAATTCAAATGACCACATTTACTGTCAAAAGAACGTATTATAAGCTACTATGAGAATATCCTAAACTACCATGGAGGAAATTGATCTGTAACAATGTTGGATCTCCTAAATGATTCTTCATTCTTTTTCTAGCACTACATGGGAAACTATATACAAGAAACTGGTTGATCATTGAGATATGAAAGTAAGTTGCGAGTGTCCATCGACCTGGAAAGTCCAGCAACCAAGAGCACCATTATCGAGCAAAATGTGAACACATTCAGGCCGTCTTTGACGGGCTGCTAAATGCAAAGGTGTTGCCCCTTTACCATCTCTAACATTCACAAACCTCGCATATCCCCTAGCAGATTTCACAATTCAATCAATTCGATTCGATCAAAAACCAAACCATAAGCTATACGGGCTGATGAGGCTTAATTAAGGAATTCTAATTGAAAAACACACAGAACATGACAAATCAATGTGGAAAATTGGAACTCCTAACCTTTTTGCAGCTATCTATTGCTTCTCTTGGCACAAATCCAGTATCTAAGCTTCACAAGAAAAGAAAAATGTGAGTTAGAAGGGCAAATTACAACAAATTCTCAAGGTGAGTGAAATTAGAACCAGGAAAAATCTGAATCATAAGCAGAAAAGAAGCTCATACATTCAATATCTGCTTGACAAATAATCAAATAATTAGATAAAAACCAAATACAATACAAAAACCTCAAACAATCAGATAAACCCCAAAATAATGGTAGAAATCTCAAATAAGCAGATAGAATAGAATAAAAAGTCTACCTCCATGCATCTATACATTAAAAAAATGAACTTAGCTGGTAAGCACAACCAGTAATTGTGTACAAAACTTTCCAAGATTCAATCTCCAGTGAAATCAATCGATTGAGATGAGAAAACTGAAATACATGAGAGAAGAGGGAAAAAATTACCTTGAAATGGTGAAAAAGTGGCGGAGGAGTAGCGGAGAAGCGAGGAGGAGTGGCGGAGGAGTAGCGGAGAAGCGAGGAGGAGTAGCTGAGAAGCGAGGAGGAGGAGTGGCGGAGAAGCATGGAGGAGTGGCAGAGGAGTAGCGGAGAAGCGAGGAGGAGCGGCAGAGGAGTAGCAGAGAAGCGAGGAGGAGTGGCGGAGGAATAGCGGAGAGTGAAAGAAATATTTTGTATTTTGAGAGTATAATGACTTTAATTTTCTCTTTTCAATGGCAGCGGTTTCAAATCCTGTTACATATTTTCCGACAGTAACACAACCCATGTTATTTAATGTAATTTGCGGGTTGCACCTAACCCACTCTATTAAACCTCCGCCATTTAGACCTTTTTATGTAGTGCTAGTTTGATTATGTGTTGCATTAGTTACAATGCTAGTTTTCCTCCATGAAGAAAGATTTTGGTGACGTTTTCAGGCCAGTGCATACGTTGAGGCGTTTGTGCAGCAGTTCCCAATGTTTGATCAAGAATTGGTTAAGCAAGGGCAAGAGTTTGAAGATGTTGAGGAAACACCAGAAGTTTCTTGGGAATAAATACAGTAAAGCATTTTCATGTTGAAAGGTATCATGCTCTCTAACTGTAGCAATACTCCCAATTTAGAATAGAGGGAGTAAAACAACATTTTATATATTTTTCTACTAAAAGTTTCTGCATGGGGTATTTGTCTTTTCAGTTAGAATTTTAATAGCAGAAGTACCATATAAGTCATAGTATGTAGAGCTGTGTGCTTTATCATGATGTGATCTGATCTTTTGAGGGCGAAAAGTGAGAGAGGGAAAGAAGTCTTTCTGGAGATTTTATAGTTGCTAATCTCTTCCAAACTTCTCTACTCTTCTTTTGACTTATTAGTTATGATA